CTTCAGAATTGCTGATCCAGGGTTCCCACCAGATTCGAGCAGTGCTCCGAAGACATCGATGGTCAAAACCTATTGAAACCCTCGGCGTGCAGTGGCCAGGTTTCGGATCCATACCGTAATATGGAGCGCAACGCGACATTGTAAACTCAACCATTGGCAGATGAACTGATGTCGCGCTTATTCCACAAGCGACACAACTTCACAAAAGCTACTCTGGCCTTCCCAATTCGGAGGGAAATATCATCGTTTGAGAGAACCACGGGACTGGTACGGCTGCTCAGGTAAACAAATTTTTCTACTACCTCAATCGGTTCATCCGCAAGAATGAAGCTAGCTTTCTGGCCCACCCAGTCTTGCTGCAGCACTTTACACTTTGCAGGCCTGAAGCGCATGGCGAACCGCGAGGCAGAATTATTTATACTATGTAATATTGTTTGCATCACCACCATATCAGACCCAAGAAGAGCCATGTCGTCTGTGTTCTCGATGAATTTTAGTTGAGGCACCGGGAGCACTTCGTGGCCACAGGCATCAGAGACTGGTTGTGAGCCACCCACGATCGTATTAATGACGAAGTTGAAGAGGAAAGGTGAAAGAAGCCGTCGGACAACACGTGGTATGGTGAACTCAGGAGAGAGTTTCCCTTAAACCTTTACGAGGCCGCGCGAGTTGGCGAACAGCGCCTTATTGAGGGTCAAGAATTTATGGGGGACAAATTTGCTCCGCAAACTGCCATGTTGCTTGGCGATCCACAGAGTCAAACACAACTTGGAGAACAGGAAACACAAACATCGTTGTTTGCTGGAAGCAATGTCGCGGTTCCACAATCTGTTGGAGGGTGCAACCTCTTGCAAGACGGAACCCGGCTTGATTTTCACGGGTCTGGCTCTCACTGTGTTCAGTCATCCTTCAAAGGGTAAGGCCAGAGAGCATCTTCGATGCCACAGCTAACACGCTGATGCCACGGCGATTTCCCCATAGCGTCCGCGTACCCTATTTGAAGACGATGATAACTGTCGACATGCGCCATTCTCCAGACACTTTCTCTTTGTCCCATATGACAAAAATAAGCTTTATCAGATGACACACCAGGGATTTTCAGCATTCTTTGAAGAGGGCTGAATACAGACCGTTCGGTCCTTGTGGCTTCTCAAGCTTCAGCAGGGCTATTTCGTGGCTTGTTTTGTCTTCCGACTGGTGATCAAGTTATACATTACATTCGCCCATATGTATTATCCCCACCTATGTGTACGTCCTATGTGTACGTGCAGTTCATTAGCCTTTGTTTTATCACCCAATCCGGGGATACCAGGCTAGATATGGGCAAACGGACGTAAGTGTATTTTACATAGATCGTTTGACTGTCCGTTTATATTGGGTACGTTCGATGGCGAATGAACCACTTCACTGAATCTGCCGGTGGTAAGGTTGCACATGACACATGCTTGCTTCGAAAGCTAGGTGTTGCGTTTACGACTTGTGTACGTTTGTATAAGAGGCCAGGCATTCTAGGAGCATACGGTAAATAACTACATCAGTACAGCTCTCTTCCCTATGGGTATAGAAAATAGCTTCCGAATGTGGCTTTAAAAAGCGTGAAACAATTTACGGATTCAATCTGTGCTTCATCAACCATGCGGGAAATTTCTTCTAAAAGATTGAGGAAACAAAATTGCTGGAAATCCGATTAGCTCCCGCAAACAGTTGTTTTTACAGACATCCAGTGTGAAAGCATATTTCTCGGAGTTAGACAAGTCGACTAAATAGGGATAGCGTTCGGGGTACTCAGGGGCTAACGTTGGTCCGTGCATTATCAGGAACCTTTGTGCAGATGACCAGTCGTACGTTCCCGCATGATTTGAACATCACGCAGCTGTAGATTATAGGGAATATGTATATGGTTCCTGTAATATCCAACAAGATACAAAGAGCAACTTGTTTTTGGAGATACTCAGTAGATTAAATTTAAACATCGAACATTAAGTAATGTGTCTGTGTGGCGGCGGTATGCAGGCAGATATTTGCAACCCGAGATGACGCATGTTAAGACGTCCTAGGAGGAATGCACGGCGAAATCGGAAAATGATAACTTCAGGAGTCGTTCTGGATTAGATTTCGTACCTAACGCAATGTACCAAAAACCAGGACAAATAGAGTTGCCCGCGACATGCTGCTTCCAGAGAGATGTGCTTGACAACGAGACAGTTGATATTCTCGTTCATAGTTCAGTCAACCATTCCTGTTTATCAACTCTTCTTGGGTAGACATTGACTCACCATTCTTTTCTTTTGGTCGTTCAAAGTGAAAGAGGAATAGGCCATAACTCATGATGTCTAGGCGCCTAGCTGGCGTTCGTACACAATGGCAGTGCAAGCAGGTTTTTGGCGTGCCGGTAGACGTGGGTAGCCGCTGATGATGAGCGAAGTGCAGTCAGACTATGTATAATGTCACCGCTGCCAAACGTACGCGGAAAGAACTACTTGTATGAGTACAGACAAAAAGCGTTTGTACAACTATGCAGTTAGCGGCTTGGAGTTTCCTCCTTAAATAAAGTTCAAGAAATCGCATCTGATTAGTGTATCTCTATGGGGCTCAGTATGCGGGAAAATCCTTTTCAATCATCGACATTTCGATTTGACGCCAATTTCGACGTCCTAGGATGAAACACCCCGGTGAATCAGAGGGAGATAAATTTCGAAGTTGTGTTTGAACATTTTTCGAAGTGAACAAACTATGCTGGAAACAATGATGAAAGGAGTGTTTTGACAGGTTAATGCAGGTGGCCCGAAAAAACAATCGTAGCTATTCACATATGATTAATTTAACTACGGGTAACTCAACAAATATTTAACTGAGGGGCTGAAACATCAACAGTCAGCTGAGGGCTTGCGCCCACACTTTCAATGCAGAATTTAATTTTAGGCGTGCTCGGTCAATTAGACAGAAGTTCATCCAGACATTAAAATTCAAAGTGACATGCTCCGTCAATGATCGCGCCATATGTTGTATCGGATGGGCCATCTGAGCTTCGCGGAACATAAATATGGTAACGTTTGAGGCCGGTTGAACTATGCACTCATCGGCCGTTGTCGTGTGGAATGCATATACAGGGGGAAGTCACATGAACGTCTTGGAATTATACACAAAAGACGGAACAGTATGAGTTCAGTCTTGAGTAATTTTGATAACTCTACGAGTGACAATTCTTGTCTAGGCCACGCAATACGACAACAATGTGGCAAAACCGCTTGAGGGTTAATCGCATTATTTGTGCATAAAATCAGTCGCTATCGAACACGGAATTCCTGCGACTGCAGTTTGGGTTTTCTCATGAAATTTTAATGACACACTGAAGTTTACCAGTGGTCCTGAATTCCACATCATTTTGTGTTCTGATCTCACAATTTTGAGGGTCTTATTATATAGTCGCGAAAAAATGCGTAACTCACGCTTACCAAAGCAACATGTGTAGTTGTTCAGCTAGCGGCCATCTTTGTATTAGGGGTTCTTCAAATACCGAAATATTCCTAGCAGTGTGTTGTGGGCACAACGGCTAACCTGCAGCCATGGACGACTGCTGTTGCCAATAACCCATAGCTGATGAAACACTTGCACTCAATTTGCCGAGCTCAGCCAACAAGCCAAAAACCATCTACGCTGCCATCGCCCTCTTCTACAAAAAAAACTTCATATGTTCAACATAACTACACTAGCTTCATATTGTGTATGCGCAAGATTTCCATACAGACCTCTGTTATACTGAGGAAGACAGAGATCTCGGTCGAAACAGACGATCTACTTTGGTGTCTGCGTGGGATCAAACAACCTCTTATCTCATGCTGCGTGCGGAATTGGGATTTTCCCTAGATTACCTTGATAACGCAAACTCCGATTTTCTTGAGATTACAGACGACCCACTTTTCGTTTCTGTTGGTAATTCATAGGGAGTAATGAATAAAACATTAATATTACCGCTGTACTCCTGATGAAAGATTCATTAGCTTGCGGACTCCCTTATTCCATAAAGGGTTTTGCCAAACAGTTGTCAAAGTGGATGGTTTATACCTTTTATCCCCCGAAAAAACGGAGGTTTGTTTTCGCCAGGCGGAATATGAAAACCATTTCTGCATGCTACCATGCCTTAACTACACTGACCTCAATATACTGTCTGTTAAACTAAGCCATTCCGTATGACGGGCAGGTAAACAGTAATATGAAATGGGAAGGGTTTTGGTGTCCCAAGTCACGATTTAGGATATATCGGCTTTAGGCCTCTACATTTCTTCGCCATCAGCGTAATTCCGGAATGGAAAATAGCATGCCGGTCTCGGCATATGACCATATTCCTCGCGCCCTGTTCAGGACAATTCACGCAAGCACAACTTTGCTCTTGAATTAAAGACCATTTTTCTTTAAGCGAGCAAACCGTGTGATTCGAAACACAATCCGTTGGACTGAATTTGTGGTCAATTTAAATGCGACTTTGGGGTTCACTCCAAACCGGTTGCCCGGAAATGCCATGTCTCATCCTTAAAAATGAAAGACCGGATTCTACTGGTGAGGACAATTAAACTGGTTGTAGAATAATCCGCGATTCGCCATTTTGCTTTTACAATCTATCGAAATCATACTTCCGGAAATGTTCAGAAAAGACGGAGTAATCCCTTTATATACTATGATAACCAACTGGGGATTTAGTAATTTACAGACAGTGAATGGTCTACAGAACGATACACGCAAAGCATAAGGTTAAGGCTCTGAAAATGGGCGGTCGCACAACATGTTGGGAGCGCCAAGAAATTCCGGAAATATGAACTCACTATCTGATATCATGAAAATTACGGGGTAAAATGAAAACGACATTATATATTTAGACATATATACATATATAAATATGAAGGGCAAGGCACCAAATTTGACCTGAGACGGAGGAAAATGCTATGTCTTACCTGAATCTATTGGAACTCGACACATTGCATTATTTTTGTAATTTTGTTCAGTTCAGTGAAACATAAATTTGACATAACCCTGTAACACCAGCTAATCCGCTGCCTGTCACTTCCTTCCTGGAAATGACTGTTATTAACCTAGATGCTTCTAAAACGTATTTCGATTGAGAAAAATGGAAGTAAATATTTTGACGTGCGTCACAACGTCCAGAGCGTTTGGCAGGAGACTTCAAAAGCCATATATATATCGAATTGCGAACCAGATCTGTTAACTATATGTTATTGAATGGAAAGTGACATTGCTGTTTATGGCCGCCTACATCCAGTTCACACAGCTTAGCACGCGTTATTGAATTTCGTTCAGAATGAGTTTTTGCAACGTCCAGCAACTTTGTGTTACTGGTACAAGTGTAACGATGGTAGTACTTAGGGGAAGGCATTCGAGTAATACGTGTTGTTCTTGACATTTCGTTTTTGCGTCTCGTGAAAAGGGGAAATCTGTTGCGGAATTTGTGGAATCGCTTTGTAACATTTACTTGGATTTTAGCAACGAATGATTGGAGCCAACGAATATCCAAGAAAGTTCAGGAAGAGGCTTTGAGGAGAAGGTGGATGTCCAGTTTTTGTAACTGCGATGCAGACTGGAGTTTCGCTTCCCCTATAATATTCTGTAACCGGTCAGCTGGTATTTTCTAATAAGGACCTCCACAGTATAGGCCTTCTTCCTTCACTTATGGTGCCGTCGCCAGGAGTAGGATGAAGATACTCTTTCGAGGATGGGTATATTCGAACATTCATGGAGAAATTTGAGGAAGTTGCGGAGGCTGCCGGACTGCAGATCGACCGTAGTAATTTGGCGCCGCTGAAGACCCTCCTCAGGGGCCGGGCGAAGCCGGCCCTGGATGCCGCCAGAAAAAGCCCTCAGAAGATGGACTGGGCCACCGCGAAGGAAGTCCTCGAAGCGGAGTTTGACATGCCGGCCTACCGCCAGTAGGCTATGAGGTGGTTCAAGACGGCCAGGATGGCACCTGAGTCGGACCCGCCGTGTTCTTCGCCGGCCTGCGGCAGTTGTTGGATCGCGCTTTGCCTGGATTGGACGGAGTGTCACGCAACCAGTTGCTTTCTGACCAGTTCGTCGAGGGTGTGCAGCCGGCGCTTGGTGCCCAGTTGCGATTGTCTTGAGCAACTGGCCAGTTGAGTGTAGAGGAGCTGGTGCGTCTGGCCCGGAAACTGCCCGAGACACCGCTGACTACGTAGCAGTCACAGAAGAATAGGGCTGGTCCACCAGTCGAAGAACTGCAGACCATAGTGGACCAACTTGCCGAACAGGTTGCAGCCATGAAGACGGAATCGCGCAGGCACTCTCGAACCAGCCGGTGCTACATGTGTGGCAAGCCTGGTCACTGCAAGGAAAAGTGTCCCCGCACCCGATCACTTGTACACAATAAAACTTCAGAGCACTCCTCTTTTCCAGAATGAGTCGCGATTAGCGCGCTGACACAAGCTACCACACAAGCCGTTGTCGAGGTAGACGGGAAAAAGGAGTTATCTTTGATCGAGAGCAGCAGGCGTTTTGCTGAGGCGAAGAGGTAACCAAGCCGAATGCAGACCATGCGCGATAGCCGTGAGAGCTGTGAGTGGATATCGACAGAAGATTGACGGACTGTCAACGCACTCGATACACCTAGGTGACGAGTTCGTGAAGCACGCGTTCCGGATCAGCCCAGACGTAGAGCAGACAATATTAGGGGCAGAGTTTCTCAAAGGGACAGATTCCGCAATTCGGAACCTGAGGGCGCAGTTCGCTTGAAGGCTGTATTGAAGCGCCTCCGGGAGGCTGGTGTGCGGATAAATGAAGCTCGCTCGGGGTTCGGTGACACTGCTGGGGCATAAAGTGGTCCATGGAAAAGTTAACCCACCGCCAGGAAAATCGACAAAGATCAAGTATTGTGCTGTTCCCAATTCAAAGCGGTAGTTTCCTGGACGAGCAGCATAATACATCCGATTTGTTAAGGTTTTCAACACGATCGCTGCGCCACTGTACGACATGCTCGGGCAAAATCAGAAATTTGAACGGACCGAAGAAGCACATGATGCTGTTGGGCGTGTCAACACATGGGTATTGGATCAAACACGGACCCTCAGACTGCCTAGGGTTGCAGAGATGTTCACTGTTGCAACGGACGCTAGTGATCAGGGGATCGGCGCAGTCCTAAAGCAGAGGAGTGGAGTTATCCAGTATGCCAGTGGTGTCATGACTAACGCTGGACAGAAGTACTCGACCACTGAGAAAGAATGTTTAGCGATCATCTGGGCCCTGGATAAATGGAGGCCATATCTGCTTGGGCAAATATTTCATGCCGAAATCGATCACAACCCGCTGGAGTTGATTGGGACCACCAGAGTTCATCGCGGAAACCTCGCGCGCTGGGCACTCCGATTGCAAGAGTACGACTTCGCAATCCAGCACGTGCCAGGGAAGGAGAACCATTTGGTTGATTGGCTGTCAAGATCAGAGGCTGAAATGAGGGCCCAAGGATCATGATTGGAGCCAATGGCCTCGTCGTCGAACTGGATCCCGGAAGGTTGGTGCAACTCCAACGCCAGGATCCTGTGCCACGAAAGGTTGCAGCCGCCTTGTTGGATGGAAGGAACATTGAGATCGTAGAGGGGGACAAGGAATTGGAAGCGTTCCAGAGTCACTTTGATCGGCTGAGGCTGAATGAATCTGACATCATTTCTTCGAACTCTACTTGTTCGGATGGTGTTCTGCCCATGATACCTCGCGTCTTGAGACTGAATCATATTGGCGAATGTCATGAGATGCCACATACAGGGTACACCAAGACAGGAGCAACTTATCCCATGGAACCCATTCCTGTCTCAGAAATCGGCGAGTTGTGGTCAGTTTAAGTCATGGGCCACATGCCGATGACAACCAGCGTATATCAATACATCGTGATAATGACAGAATACCTGTCGCGGTGGATCGAGGAGGCAGCCGTGCCTAATCAACGGGTGACGGCGATCAACGGTGTGGTAATGCATCGCATCGTGGCCAACCATGGGCTACCGAAAACGATCCTAGCCGATCAGAGGCCTTGCTCCGTGAGAGGAGCGTTCAGTAATTGCTTGTAGAAGCCGGGTATCAGACGGCTAGGGAAGGCACCATACTATACTAACCCAACGATCAAGGAGATTCTGGTGGAAAATGGTGACTGAGGAATGAACTTGCGAATGGTGTTGCTAGCTCATGTGCTTCCAAACAGTCAACCAGAGGCAAGTCTCCGTTTATGCTGATGTACGGTCGACATCCGCGCCTTCCGGTTGATCAGGAATTTGGGCTGTGGCCAGCAACTCTCTCGTCTCCGGAAGAGCTAGATGAAGAAATTAGAGCTTGAGAAATCTTGAACGCGGTTCAAGAAAGAACTAGGCAGAAAACGACAAGTAGAAAGACACGAACACTCCCCATAGACACGAAGGTTAAGTGGAAGGATCACCAGAATCCTGGAAGGAGTGGACTGGGGTCGCGAAAGCTAGG